GGTTTTATTGTTTTCTCGTTTGTTTGCTTTAGTAGATTTTTGGGATGTTATAGTGAGCTACTTTATTCTAATTTTCTCGTTACCATGTTCCCGCCAATACCGCAACTCCATATTCCGCTTATTAACAGACACCACCCATAATTCCCCCATTTGCTCTGACGAAGGACTAGCGCTCGAAACTTCAGATTTTAAACTCGCAACAGTGGCCTATTTTACGTCATCAACTCACCTGATACAACTAAATTATCTTTGCAGTTAGTTCCATTTCCATGAAATCCATCTTTACAGATGCACTTGTAAGATCCCAGGGTATTGTTGCACTCCGCATTCTCATCACACCCGTTTCTTTCACTAGAACACTCATCTATGTCTGAGACAACAAAATGAGCGCCACATTTATGTAAGGGTTTGTGTGTATTTGACGTTCTCTGGCCGCAAGTGTTTTCACTTCCATGCCAACGTTCCCCGTTGTCAGATAAGAAATGGCCACACATTAATTTTACTGAGTACAAAAAAATTTAGAGGATTCCTCACCTTTATCACAATCGTGGCCTTCAAATCCAGATCCAAAAGCACACAAACATTGATAATCTCTGTGTGTAAAGCCAGCTTGGCATGTTGCATTATTTCTGCAAGGATTACTGGCGCAAGCATTCTTAAGAAGAAAAATAATATGACCACTTCAATTGTTGTGCTTGTCTTCTGCGCGTGCATTCATGTTTGCGAGTTCTGAATGCTATGCATGTTTGTGAAATCTGCGCGTCTTACCTCATGTCCATGTATTTCGCGCAAGCTTTTTTGTTATTTACGCAAATGTTTGTGTTGAGCACATTTGTTCCCGTTCCAAGCGTGGCACTGTTCAAATCGAGAGCAAAATCTGCGTGTATCTTATAAATGTATATTCTTGAATAACAAAGTATGCCTCTCTTAATTCTTTATTTCAACATTTTAAACGTTCAATTATCGTAACCTATATTCTGGTGGGTGGAAGGAGAATTTAGAGGAGTGGCAGAGGCTGAGGGATGCTTAGTCTTAGTCTTGTAAAAAGGCCTCAACGAGTATAAAGTGCCATACTCTTGGCTTATAAACGTCATCCTCACCTCAGCTCCGCGGTAAATGTAACTTTCGTTTTCTACCAGTTTTCCATCGTGTTCAATGGTCGCGTTATTCAGATCACACTTGTGTGTTCCAGAAGCCTGTCTTAGCTTATGGAAGTTATAACTGACACAGTTAGGTTCCAGATAGCATTGTAACCTGCAGAGATCCTCGTCGAATACTTCAATAGTTCGAACCGAGCGATTCTCCAACCTGTAGCCAGGTTTAGGAAAACTGGTAAACTTCAAATTGCGGCAGTTGCCTGGTGAACAGTTATATTAAGAAAGTTGGTATGTCACATTGAGCCCCTCTACTGAGACTGGAATTATAGAGCAGTGTTACTGCTGACTTTTTGCTTTAGTTCAGCACCAAGAGAGTGATTTTTATTAATAATCTGACCTATCATGTTATCTGCCTTTGGTTGTGATCAGCTATCGTGATCGAACGAGTATTGCACAAATCCATAAACACCTTTGTTGTTACATAGAGTGAATCATGTTTATATAATAATAATGGTCCACTCGTCTGAGTATGTTTGGTTCTGTAAAAAAAGGGTTATTATCGGAAACGTGTCGTGAAGTTTTTATTGTGTGAATTCACGAGAAGCGGTTGTTGTTATGTCGCTTGACTTAAGCTTTCAACCAAACTGCATATTAATAATGAAAAGCGCGAGAAGACAAAATTGGTCGTTCACGCAAAACTCACGAGCTTCTTAACTTCATCAACACCATGGTACGGAATTTAGCTCTTGGCTTTCTACTTTTAAGGATGTAACAAAAGTTTTCACTGCATACTGTAAATTAACGATCACTAAACGGCGAAACGCTGAAAGTTTTTCTTGAGTATGCACACCATAGGGGCATAACTGTGTACGATATGAGAAAAAAGTCCTTAACTGTCAACTGTTTTCTTTGTTAATCAAATCTTTTGTTTGAACCACCTGTTTTTTTCTCAAGCTAAGTAAGAATTTCCTTTCTGCGATGGATCATAAATAACTTATGTCATAGTTCTACCAACTCGCTCGAATACACGAATTCAGTCCTCGATTTAGGTACGTGTTTTGAAATATCAACCAACATGTAGATCAACTTTGGAGCCAGATTGTAAAAAAAAGTCAGGTTTTCCCTCAGATAACATGATTAAGTGCGTTATGTTTCTCGCTGTGACGAACTAAAAGATTTCTTTACCAAGAATTAAAAAGCTTTACATCTGTGTAAAGTTTTAAGTTGAACAAGAGAAGCTATTTTGGTTGAGTTTAGATGAGCCTCTCAACTCATCCATAATGCATGATCAAAAAAATCGAACACGTCTCTAGACTTCAATTCATTGAAGAGACAGTGACTGTTTTTTTTT